ACACACACGCATACACACACACACACGCATACACACACACACATACACACACACACACATACACTCATACACTCACAAATATATTATATATTTGAGCTTTCGGTACTGCATACAATAAATTTAATTGTTCTACACCATAATTGTTCCAGACAGCTTCTTTTTGTTCTGTTTCTGAGTCCTTATTCTTCAAAGGAATGCGATAGAAAATTATGGCTTTGAACATCTCACACATGAATGATGAGTTTGTAATACTCAAAGTTGATTCAAATTACTAGATTCTGTTGAAATCTATAAGGAAACACACAAATTATACTATATTGAGGCAAAAACACAAGCCAGTTCTCTCAATGAGGTGAAGTGTCAAAACTGACCTGTCTTCAAATCCATTTTTCTCCTTTTAAATCATCATTGCCTTTCTCACTCTGCACCACGGTATAGGCCACGGACAAACACTTTCCATCCAGGGCTAGCCTCTTGATGTTATTCCATGTCTTCCCAGTTTCCTGAACATCAATTTCTGTAATTCTTCTCCAGGTTCCACACGTTCTTGCCCTTGATCTTTTACCCTGTGGTTTCCAATCCGACACTTTCTTTGTTAATTCCTGAGAGTATGTCCAATCCATCGCCACTGCCTTCTTCCTACCTCATCTCTGACTGGGATCAGTCTTGTTTTCTTTGATTCTTCCTCGTCAGTGATGTCTGTCCATCTGATCCTCAGTAACTTTCTTAGACACTTGTTCAAGAAAACCTGGATCCTCTTTATTTTGCAAATCCTATTAAATGCTGTCAAATAAAAAATACATAGCTTCCTGTTGAGATCTTCACTGACCATCTTAGGCACACGAAAGAGAGTACAGTCATTTGACCTTATGCAGTTGCAAGCAGTGTAAAACTTTTACCACACAAGAAAGAGATGAAGAGGGCAGTTCCTATATATATATATATATATCAATATCTATCTACTGGCCGTAGAGTGCCTTCATTTCAGACATGGTTTCCTGAAGAGTCTTGACAAAGACAGCAGAGTCCGTGGCCTGAGTGGAGCGCCGTGAGGAGACATGGAAGAACACGCGATGCTCTCCGGCCACCATGTAGGACACGCCGTAACCGTCGTCAGACACGGGGCCAAACCCTCCGCCTGGACACACCTGGTCGCGGAATTTGGGGTTGCTGCAAGTGGGGGACCACTCGATCTGAGGGGAGAGAAAAATAAAACTTTTGTTTGTTGACTTATTTTTGGTTATTGTTGTTGTTGCCACTGTTATTAAAAGAGAGTTGATAAAAAAATGTGTGTGTGTGTGTGTGTGTGTGTGTGTGTGT